GTGCTGGTCATAAAATTAGAATATCATGAAAAAGTAGATTGATTTCAGTAATTCCATTTAAAAAGTGAAACTTGTATATTATATTCATACATTACATACAAACTCATATATTTCAGATGTTTATTTTGTTTAATTTTGATGATTACAAATGACAACAAATGAAAATCTCAAATTCATCATATCAGAAAATTAGAATATTGTGAAAAGGTTCAAAATTGATGGCCCCTGGTGCCACACTCTAATCAGCTAATTAACTCAAACCACCTGCAAAAGCCTTTAAATGGTCTTTCAGTCTAGTTCTATAGGCTACACAATCATGGGGAAGACTGCTGACTTGACAGTTGTCCAAAAGACGACCATCGACACCTTGCACAAGGAGGGCAAGACACAAAAGGTCATCGCTAAAGAGGCTGGCTGTTCACAGAGCTCAGTGTCCAAGCACATTAATAGAGAGGCGAAGGGAAGGAAAAGATGTGGTCGAAAAAAGTGTACAAGCAAGAGAGATAACCGCACCCTGGAGAGGATTGTGAAACAAAACCCATTCAAAAATGTGGGGGAGATTCACAAAGAGTGGACTGCAGCTGGAGTGAGTGCTTCAAGAACCACCACACACAGACGTATGAAAGACATGGGTTTCTGCTGTCGCATTCCTTGTGTCAAGCCACTCTTGAACCACAGACAGCGTCAGAAGCGTCTTGCCTGGGCTAAAGAGAAACAGGACTGGACTGCTGGTGAGTGGTCCAAAGTCATGTTCTCTGATGAAAGTAAATTTTGCATTTCCTTTGGAAATCAAGGTCCCAGAGTCTGGAGGAAAAGAAGAGAGGCACTTCATCCACGTTGCTTGAAGTCCAGTGTAAAGTTTCCACAGTCAGTGATGGTTTGGGGTGCCATGTCATCTGCTGGTGTTGGTCCATTGTGTTTTCTGAGGTCCAGGGTCAACGCAGCCACATACCAGGAAGTTTTAGAGCACTTCATGCTTCCTGCAGCTGACCAACTTTTTGGAGATGCAGATTTCATTTTCCAACAGGACTTGGCACCTGCACACAGTGCCAAAGCTACCAGTACCTGGTTGAAGGACCATGGTATCCCTGTTCTTAATTGGCCAGCAAACTCTCCTGACCTTAACCCCATAGAAAATCTATGGGGTATTGTGAAGAAGAAGATGCAATACACCAGACCCAACAATTCAGAAGAGCTAAAAGCCACTATTAGAGCAACCTGGGCTATCATAACACCTGAGCAGTGCCACAGACTGATCGACTCCATGCCACGCCGCATTGCTGCAGTAATACAGGCCAAAGGAGGCCCAACTAAATACTGAGTGCTGTACATGCTCATACTTTTCATGTTCATACTTTTCAGTTGGCCAACATTTCTATAAATCCTTTGTTTTTATTGGTCTTCAGTTATATTCTAATTTTCTGATATGATGAATTTGAGATTTTCATTTGTTGTCATTTGTAATCATCAAAATTAAACAAAATAAACATCTGAAATATATGAGTTTGTATGTAATGTATGAATATAATATACAAGTTTCACTTTTTAAATGGAATTACTGAAATAAATCTACTTTTTCATGATATTCTAATTTTATGACCAGCACCTGTATATTTAGGTTATAAGTAAAAAGAAATTAACAATTTACAAAATAGCAGACTTATTTTGAAATTAAAATTACCGGAAGTCGAGCACAGTAATTATTACTGCTAGATTTGAGAGATTAACGGGTTTTTTGCCTACTATGAATCGATTAAAGAAACAGTTGAATTCTACCATGTTCTGCTAAGTTTTTTAATTGTACTTTTTTAATTTTTTAATCATGTGATATAGTTACTTTCGAAGACACCTGAATAAAATACATGTTCAAACAATATTGAAAAGGCAAATTTAGGGGTTATCTGTAATTTCAAGCTTGATCAGTAGAGGGAGACAAAGCTTACAGTTTGAGCAAGATTATATTTTTTGGGTTTGTCATTGGACACAGAAAAATCTTTTCGCTGGATTCTGACATTTACACAATAAACCAATAAGTATACAGCTGCTAGAAAACGTTAACTATATGCCTATTTTCTTTCTAAATAAAGTATTTGTCTGGATTTTAAGAGAAATACAAAACAGTGACCTCTTCAAAACCAAAAAGGAAACTATTTTTTGGGGAAAATAGTAGTATATTATAGTTCTCTCTAAAACAATAGTTTGAAATAATAATTTCCACCATCAGTTTTTGACTTTACCAAATTCCCTAATATTTTCTGCTTGAGGAAATAAAAATACCATTTTGGGGTATTTTTTATTTTTTTACTGTGGCTTAATAATCAATAAACCGACACCTTCCTCCAAATATTTTGTCATGCCAGATATTGTTTCTATCATTATTATGAAGCTTTTAATTTGGGATATTACCGTGCATAATTTAGCCACTTCATCAGACAGCATGAAAAGAAAGAACTTGCAAAGCAACTACAGCGTAATTGAGTTTATTTATAAAAAAATCCAAGAAAGAATCTGCAATCTAAATGAAAAAAATAGGAAGAGTTCTTGAAAATAAAATAAAAAGGGTTATTTTTGTGTGATGGGAAATGAATTCTGGTCCATTAACTCTCCAACTCTCTCCTGGAGGGTTTGGACCACCTCTGCCAGGATAAAAAGATGCGTGTCATCCAGATCTTTTAGGATGAACTTCTTTCCCAAAGCCATCGTTTCGTCGAGGTAGAGGAGGAACTGTTTCATGGCGGGATCACTGGTCCACAGAGGAAATGGGGAAGAGAAAGGAAAAAAATATACATAAAAACTTAAAGCCACTATATAAAAGAAAGATAACAGTAAAATGATCAGATCTGCAGTGATCATACAGATTTACTTGTAGCTGAAAAGTGCAATACTCTCAATACAGTGGCTACTCTGGGAAAAAGTTAATTCAATGTATTAATAGCCTTAATTTGTTATCCAGCAGAAATTAAAATTACATCCAAAGACACAAAATTAAACAAAAAATAGAAGATTCTCTCTGATGTCAAACTTTAATATGTATGTAGCTTTCTAAGCAGGACTTGGCACCTTCCTAAGCAGCAAAAAGCAACATGTTTTAATCACTTTTTTTTATTGGGCTGCCAACTAGCCTGGCTGGTATAGTTCAATATCTATAGTTATCAATGATATAACAGTAAAATCACCAACATACATTACAGCAAGGGCGGCAAGATATGGCTGAAAATTTAGTCTCTAATTTTTTTTCTTCTACCAAATCTGGCTGATTTTATCTTGTGAACATCTTGATAGAAGTGTTGGCCTTATCTTTCATCCTGGAGAGAATTTTGAACAGTTATTAATTTTAAGCCATAATCAATGTGAAATGTAGTTCAACTCAGTAGAAATAAATCAGGTTTTAATTGTTTTCTCATTTAAGTAGATGCCCAAATTTGATATTGTACATAGTAGGCAAATCGTATCAGAGATGGACCTATATTAAGACATTTCCAAAACAAAACAAAAATAAATAGAAGTCTCACCATTCAACAAGAACTCCTTTGTGGACATTAACCATTTTGGCAACAAGATGATCAACAATGTAGCTCCTCAGGTGCAACTAAGAGGCTAAAAGAAAATACGAGCAGAGAACAGAAGTTATATGTTGTTAGAAATTAGCTAATTTAGCTAATGTTAACACGCAATAATTCAGCATTAAATATACTCGAATCAATAACACGGTTTTAAATGCCAAAACCCCCGTTTTCCATCCACATACCTCAATATATTGAAGATTAATGAACACATATGATCAAAGGTTTGTCTTAGGGCAACGCTAGCAAAAGCTTCCAGTTATAGAAATGTACGGCGCACAACAAGGGACAAACCTCTTCTTCTTCATTTTTAATCGCTGTTGGAACGCAAACGTTTGGCGCATTACCGCCACCAACCAGTAAGGGGTGTGGATAGCTAAAAAAAACAAACAAACAAAAAAACTGGTAAAACAAAAACGAATAAAATCTAAAATAAATCAAGACGACTTTCTGAATTTTTCGTTGCAGACTGATTAATGATAAATTTGAATCTGAGCAAACTACGGCTCTGACAAGTGACAAACTTCTCATCATACGGGTTTTCATTAACCCTTTCTATCCATTTGAGGAATGTTAATTTGTTTGTAGTAACTGGGCGAAATTTTAATATTATTGTTGGATTTTTTTTTCTTTATAAATAATAACTAGACACTGAAAACAAACTATGGACGATACTCTGAGGAAATTGTTCTTCCGCTCTACAGAACATAATAAGAAAAACAAACATTTAGGATGATGATTAGATTTATTCCTAAATAAGATTTAAAATCTGATTCTTTTAGGTATTATTAAAAGGCCATTTTATGCTCTGCTACTTGAACAGTTTTAGCAAGCAGGCCATTTATTCATGCTGTACTTCTTTTGTTTTCTAAAGTTATGCGTTTTGGCAAGAACATATGTATTAGAATATTTTATAGCCATTTACAAATAACTTAATGTTTTGATTATTTTTACATATTATTCAATGTTTGTTACTTCAAGCATTTCTTCTACACTGGTTGCATTTAATAGTTGATCATCTGTAGCAGATTGGTTTATCTCCTACTTGTTCATCTTCCACCTTTTAGTTTTGTTTTTTGGTCCGTTTACTTTATATAATCATTTTCATGGTGTATGTGTGTGTAGTATTTGCCCATCTGTTTTAAACCTTTCTAAACTTTGTGCTACAATGGGCGTTGATGTTATGTTAAACTATTTAAATACTGGCATTTTACAACAGTAAACCTGTACCTATCTTTCAAGTTCAATTTCTAAGCTTTGTTTCAAAACAAAAAAGAGAGTAATTCTTAAGGATGTTTAGATTTTTCATCATACATATTTTAATAGACAAAGGTGTGTTTACTTCCTGCTGTTATCACCAACGCCACAGGTTTCTTATGACAGTTCTATTGTAGAAGAGGTCCAAAGTGGTGCATCAAGAAAAAAAGGAAACAATTCTCCAGCTTCACTCATTTCTAACATTTATTGTCATTAATCTGTTTTTTATAGTAGTTTTTGTGCCACAAATCCAACTTGAATAGACTTCAAAAACACCAGGAGAGCCGATCTGATAGCTCAGGGCCTCCTGGAGTCCGGCTCAGAAGGGAGCACATTTTGGCACAAAATCTGTACAATATATAAATATAAAAATACATTTAAAATCAATATTCTGGTCCCAATCACTGAGATGTATTATTAGAGCTTAGAATAATTTGCTGCAGGTGCAAGAATGAGCTTAGTTGTAAACAAAGTAATGGAGTCTTGTAAAAATTAAACCCATCAGAATGTGTCCAATTTACATAAAATAAACACATAAAATAATTCCAACTTATTTAGCACAGGTCAGGTTTTTTCAGACATCAATGGGTAAAAAAAGGTTTAATTTCACTTCTCACATTAGTGATTGGCAGATGCCTATGTTAATGTGCCATAAGGAGGAAAGGCGTTTTAGGTTTAAGGGTGGAGGGTCAGTTTTAAGTGCATACTGGGCTGCATTTTTTTTTTTGTGCTTATGTATTTGAGTCACTGGCTGATGAAACGCTGCAGTGCTTCTTGGATGAACTGCAGACTGCGTCTGTATAGAAACGAGTCCTTCTTCTCTGGCTTGCAAATGTTGAGGTGATCAACATCCACCTCAATAAGCTCCCCAAGGCCGAGGTCTGAACAAAACACACACAAAAAAATAAATAAAAACACTCAAGATGAGAAGTAAAGGAAATGTGTCGCCTACTCATAAGTGCTACATACCTGCTGACTGCTTTGGTACCACCAGAATCTTGATCATGGGGCCGATGATGGTGGGCCGGGTCTCTGCAAAGCTCAGCACCTTGATTTCATTTTCTTTGGCAAAATTAAGGAAGCCTTCATTCAGACAGTGGAGGGCTGGTGAGTCTGAACAAAGACAGATATTTACTTTTTTTCAGAGACTAAAACAAACCCAGTTTTGCAGCTGAGAATTAAAACTCACCCCTACAAAGTTCCCTGACTTCTATAGAGGGAAAAAGGAGGTATCTGACATTGACAGAGTACTCTGCCATGAAGGTGCCATGGTGAGGAACACTATAGAACAAAACTCCCTTAGTGTTCTTTAATAATCCCTGCAGATCTGGGTCATCAGCTGCATCCAGCAGCATTTTCTTCACAAGCAGGCCTAACGGATACATCAAGCACAAGAGGGCGCACAAGCAACAAATACGTTCAGTTAAATGTAACAAATGGAGGGGGAAAAATGGAGGATATCTGATATGTTTGTGTTAGAATACCTCCCATACTATGAGCCACCCAGACCACAGGTCTCTCTCCAACTCCTGCAAGCTTTAATTTATTTAGCAGCTCCCGGCTTCTGTATGCCAATGACTTCCTGATGAGATAAAAAAAAAAAATTAAATAAAAGACTTTTCTCCTCTTTGCCAAAAACCGAATTGATCTCTTTGAGTATGCTTTGTATTCAGACTGAACCCTATTCCCTAGTATTTCAATTTTATTTACATACATCAACATAAAAATTATGTTCAGCTACCACATGAGATTAAAGACATCATGTTCTCACCTTTGATTCTCAGCGGGACACTTAGCCATCCAGTCGCTAAGATGACTGTCATACTCCACAGACAGTACTCTCAGGTTTGGACAGTCAGCTGCCAGCCAAGACTACATAGAAACAGAGAAACGAGTGCAAAGATTTATTTATCCAAACATCAACAAAACAGCTCCTGAATTATCCGAGTATCTTCTAGAGGCAGAGGTTTCATTTCCCTGTTTCCCTTTAAACTTGTTGAACATCCATCAAGAGGAGCATGCATTACCTTTGGCCAGCACTCTGTGTAATAATCTAGATCTTCCGCTTCATTTTCTTCTCCCGGTGTGTTGCGGTCCCTCTGCCTCCATGTTTTAAAAGCTGCTCCTAGAATCCCATGGATGAACAGCACATCTGCTTTGATAGGTTGGCTGCAAATGGACCAAGTCAAAGATGACGGTTGGATTTTATGTAAAATCAATAAAAACTAACCAAATTTTTTTTTTGAAGCATAAACTTTAACCATTTTCCTACTTGCCACGCGTTTGTGGGTGGAGGATGTAGATGCCATCTTGGTATTTCTCCCTCAACGTCTCCCTGTCCAGGTTGGCCAAAGCTCGAGCCGCATGAGACGCCTGAATTGCATGAGGAGACTGCAACATCTCGGCCAGGACAGAAACCCAACCTAAACGTAGGTAAAACATCATCAAGCAGAAAGCCTGTAATCTATGTCCGGGTAGGAAACCGCCTCTTTTTATGGTGACATCATAAACCGCTCACGCAGAATTATTATGAACTTACCGGACTGGACTATGGCCTGGTGAATCCCTTCGTTTAGCGCCAGGTTTCCTATGATACGAACAATGTTCCTCTGAATCTTTTGGGATTCCTTTCTGAGCTGATAAAGTCTCTGAAGAATCTGCAGACCTCCATTTGCAACTATGTGGTCACAGTGACTCTGTACCTGCAGACAATAAATCCATCAGGTTCTAAAAGATTCAACTCACCCTAGTTAAAAAAAGATTAACCTGTTTTGATATGCAAAAACCTTTGAGTGCTGCACAAGTGCTTGCAGGCAGAAGGACTCCACTTTTTCTGAGGGAACAGAAGTGAGGCTCTGGGCATAAGGAAGCCCATTACCCCCGAAACACCACAGTCCACCCTGCAACATCAATAGCCACAGCAAATCAAAGTATTATTTTTTTACTTTTCCAAATATTCTTCTAATAAATCCTTTTATGAACATGTGCATGCATGTTTTTATGTTACCCTTTGTGCTGCCATAGACTGACTACTCTCCCTAAGCGCCAGAGAGGTGAAGTACTGCACACATCTGTCGACTTCAGACAGAGGCAGAGACGCTAAGAGCTGCCGTAGAGCATCCTCTGCTGACATACCCTAAGAAGAAAACACAATAAAGTTAAAATCATGCAGATATGGAAATTAAAAGTATCCGCACCCCCTGTGCAAAAAAACATTTAAATAATTATTCTATTACAGCAACCTAAGAGAAAGCTTTAAAAATGCATTATATCTCTTCTTCAACTACCCCTGCTGGTTTTCTACAGGAGTTTAGAGAGGAAGGTTGATTTATTTCTGGTGAAGCCGTTTTGTGTTGATCATCATTCTGCCTGAAAACTCACTGATAATCAATTTTCAGTTCTTTTGTTAGAGCTTTTCATTCAAATATGTTTTGATGCCATGTACTCTAACAAGGATCCCAAGGCCTTTAATAGAGAAGAAGGCCCGCAGCATCACGGATCCTGCTCCACATCTATCAACACCTCCAAACATTGAGACTTCATGATGCATCATTTTCAACAGAAATCTATCAACAAATTTCAGACCCAAGTTTTATTTACCTTACCAGCCTGCTTACAGTATATGGTCTGAACATAGATGTGATAAATGGTTCAACCTGGCAGGAATAGGGCTCTATAAAATCTGTTTTAAGTTTTGAAAATTCCGTTTTTTCCATTTTAATTTTTGCGAATTCAGTTTTTTACCCTTTACTGTTATTTCAGTCGTAAAAAGAATGTGCTTTTAATGTTAATGATTAAAATGTACACAATTAAAATAGGAATGACCTTAAATTTATTGAGCTAAAAAAAACCATTTACTCAGTACTTTTACTGCATGATGCAACATAACACTGCACTCTAAGTAATAACAAAATATTAATGGTTATGAACCAATGGTTATAAATAAAAGTGCTAAAATAGGACCTCTCAATTTCAGAATTATAAAGTATTTCATAAAGAATCATATTTTCCATACAGTACATTAAAGTGCATAAGAAACAAGGCAAAATACAGCAAGTATGTAAGCATTGTGTTTCTCAACTTTTTCCGCCGAAAGCACAAACTGTGGAGAGCCACTTTGCGACTTTTCAATGTTTTGATGGGGGAGGGTGAGCGGAAATGAGGGAGCGGGAGGGGTTGAGTCGCCCAGATTTTCATCCCCCTGTGATTCCGTCCGCGATTCCGTGATCGTGGAAATTATAGGGCCCTACAGGAAGCATCTAAAATGAACCCTTTGTTATTTATACTCAAGGGTAACTGAAAAACTTAATTGCTAAATAACATTTTTTCAAATGTTTTTATCTAATTGATAAATTTGAATTTAAATGAAATGTAATATTCCCCACAGAATAAATTTTATTGCACTAAAAATTAGATTTTTCCTCCATCTTCAGTGTGAAATTGACCTACTGCGGCACAAAAGCTTTTAACACGCTGTGCAAAGGAATGCCAATAGATTCCTCCATGACTGTATATAAGGTTGCTGGATGATGTTAATAAGTAACTCCTAAACTAAAACACATACATCCTCTAAATTAGGCAGTGCAGGCGGCTGTCGGAAGAATCGCAGGTCCACTTGAGGAGTTCGAGCCAGACCAACTACTGTCCGCTGATCGATGACCTGAGCTGCTGTCTGATACTGGTAATCTGTAACAGACAACAGATTAGTACTCCAGTACCGAATGACTTGCGGTAATCGGAGGCCAATGAGTCTGCTTTACCTTGCCAGTGGGGATTTTCTGCAAGCTCCTGGACAGCCTGAAGTCTGACAGCTTTGTTAGGAGATTGGGCCTTCTTAAGCAGAACCCATAACCCAACTTCATGTGGGTCTGCATCAACGTGACTAAAGTGCTCTTAGAAACACAATAACAATGAATAAACTTACCAAGTTTATCTACACAATAACAGAACATGTACCACTAACAGCTCTAAGTAAACAACGGTGCAACAGATAGTCTACATCTAACTACACTATATTGCCAAAAGTATTTGCTCACCCATCCAAATTATTGGAATCAGGTGTTCCAATCACTTCCATGGCCACAGGTGTATAAATTCAAGCACCTAGGCATGCAGACTGTTTTTACAAACATTTGTGAAAGAATGGGTCGCTCTCAGGAGCTCAGTGAATTCCAGCGTGGAACTGTGATAGGATGCCACCTGTGCAACAAATCCAGTCGTGAAATTTCCTCGCTCCTAAATATTCCACAGTCAACTGTCAGCTGTATTATAAGAAAATGGAAGTGTTTGGGAACGACAGCAACTCAGCCACGAAGTGGTAGGCCACGTAAACTGACGGAGCGGGGTCAGCGGATGCTGACGCGCATAGTGCGAAGAGGTCGCCAACTTTCTGCAGAGTCAATCACTACAGACCTCCAAACTTCATGTGGCCTTCAGATTAGCTCAAGAACAGTGCGCAGAGAGCTTCATGGAATGGGTTTCCATGGTCGAGCAGCTGCATCCAAGCCATACATCACCAAGTGCAATGCAAAGCGTCGGATGCGGTGGTGTAAAGCACGCCGCCACTGGACTCTAGAGCAGTGGAGACGCGTTCTCTGGAGTGACGAATCGCGCTTCTCCATCTGGCAATCTGATGGACGGGTCTGGGTTTGGCGGTTGCCAGGAGAACGGTACTTGTCTGACTGCATTGTGCCAAGTGTAAAGTTTGGTGGAGGGGGGATTATGGTGTGGGGTTGTTTTTCAGGAGCTGGGCTTGGCCCCTTAGTTCCAGTGAAAGGAACTCTGAATGCTTCAGCATACCAAGACATTTTGGACAATTCCATGCTCCCAACTTTGTGGGAACAGTTTGGAGCTGGCCCCTTCCTCTTCCAACATGACTGTGCACCAGTGCACAAAGCAAGGTCCATAAAGACATGGATGACAGAGTCTGGTGTGGATGAACTTGACTGGCCTGCACAGAGTCCTGACCTCAACCCGATAGAACACCTTTGGGATGAATTAGAGCGTAGACTGAGAGCCAGGCCCTCTCGTCCAACATCAGTGTGCGACCTCACAAATGCGCTTCTGGAAGAATGGTCAAAAATTCCCATAAACACACTCCTAAACCTTGTGGACAGCCTTCCCAGAAGAGTTGAAGCTGTTCTAGCTGCAAAGGGTGGACCGACGTCATATTGAACCCTATGGATTAGGAACGGGATGTCACTTAAGCTCATATGTGAGTCAAGGCAGGTGAGCAAATACTTTTGGCAATATAGTGTACCTTAACATCTAAATCTATGCAACTGCTTTTATATAAAAAAAAAGCCTAGAGATACATTACTAACCTTGGAGCAGAAAGCTTTGCCCTGTTACCTTGGCAGCTTATAATTTGGAACAGTTCAAATGTTATTTACTTTTATCTTGAATACAAGTTTATGAAAACTACAAAAAAAAAAAAAAAAAGTATTGTGTCGACTGTAGACTTAACACATTATTGCAGAAAGTATGGAATACTCAAAAACAGGATGTTCATGTCTAAGGCAGGTGTTTCCTTGGCTCTCTGCCCTCATAAAAACAGTCAGCTGTAGTGTCAAGTAAAATAACTTTTCTGCTTCTATATACAGTAAAATCACATACCTTCCTTTAAATAAAAGACAAAATTTTCTTTTCTGCATAACCTTGTAGAAGCTTTACATTTCTTACCATCTAATGACTTTAGAAGAAGCTTAGAGGATAACTCCAGAAACCTTCTGGCTGCTCTGTGAAGTTCTTTTCTTGTTTTTTGTGTGAACTCTGTGAAATACGTGCATAAAGAGTAAATTAATTTAAACAATGAGAATTTTCTAAAGTTGAGCAGAACATTTAGTGTCAGTGTGCATTTCCATTAAATGATTCCAGTTGGTATTTTGCTTTAAAACATTGACCTTGGGTTAAAAAGACAGACAGAAAAAACCAGACAGGAAATAGAAAGAGGAAGGAAAGACAGAGGGAAATGATACCAGATGTTTTGGTCTACCAGGTATGCAAGAACTCATGTCCAAAATACATGAGGACACACAGACAGACCTAATATGACAGATGGCTAACACACCTTAGCGACTACATTTTTAGCACAAACAGGCTTTATTCATTTATTTAACAAAATCATCACCTGCAGATAGATGATCCTGTTCAGCAGAGGGAGTGGCTCTGAGATAAACGTAGGATTTGTATTTTTCTTGAAGAATTGCACTGGTGTCGATGGTCACAGCCTTATCTAAGGCGACTACTTCATAAGTAATAAATAAACAACCCCTACAAAGAGGGAAAACAACATATCAGACACCATAGAACAAAAAACACAAGTTAAGTTGAAAACTTCAGGATAATATAGCAACTCACCCAAACACAACTGCGCCAGTAACTTTGGCTATTTTTCCTAAATTTTGTGTGAAAGAAAATCAGTATTAATAAACAGGTAGAGCTGAGGACACCCCTGCCTCAAAGAAAAAATTGTTTTCAGAGAATATGGAACAATGTCTAAACTGGGAAAAAGAATACAGAGAGTTGAAAATAACTGAACATGAAAAATATAAACTTATTTTTTTTACACAGTGACTTTTTATTCATTATAAAAAGAAAGATCTTAGAGTTTCACACAGCTAAATTATCAGACGACAGGTTAACATGCTAAGTTATAATAAACCTATTTAGAAATCTGTAAAACATTATCATTTTCCTTTAATTTACATCTCCATTCTTCTTATGTTTGTTATATCAAATTAAATCCCAACAAAATAAAATCAAAAGGAAATAAAGTTTTTAAAATCGCTTTACAATTTTGGATAGTAGCTATAAAAAAAAAAAGTCACACAAAATCCAGTTTACAAAATCTATTCATCTTCTCGGTTCTAAAATGTGACAAAACTCCAAGTCCAACATGTGGACAGAGTGGCAGAACTGATGTTTTCCAGAATAATTAATCTAATTAAGACAGTTCCTCCGTGGACATAGTTATAATCTTCATTCTGTACTTGGCAAAGATTTGGAAATGAAATGAGAGCAGTGTCCTTCAGCTAAGAGCAAAGTGTAATATTTTGATAAGGCTGGATCCATGGATGTCTAATCATCTGCTCATGTGTGTGATGTAAAATAAGATGATGTGGCAGACTGAAGATGTATAAAATGTCTTTTTAACTGTTAATGAGGGCCACTTCCTGAGAGGTGAGCAGCTGCCTTCTTTACATTCTAAGCAATTTCTCTGATCTGAGTAAGATCACAATTTCTATCAGAATCAGTTGTCATGTCTCCGGGTTATTTAATGCATATAAGTTATGAAGTGTTATTTAAAGAGTTTGTCCCGAGTGATCTCTTTCCAGGGAAAAGAACCAGAGAGATGCATACACACAGAGCCTATCTTTATCACCCTGAATTAGCTGTGGATGATCAACATTGTGGCTAAACTGTTACTGACTGATGTCTTACTTAAATGATTCCACTGAAGCACTTTATTCACACCATGAGGCCCAGCTGTGCTCAATCTTCTGCAGTGGATCACACGGAGAGCTGCTACAGACATCCTCCACTTCTCTCTCACTACATAAATCAAACCAAAGAAAAGAAAAATAATTTCTCACACCAAGGATATAAATGTGTCACATGACAGCCGACAGAGCAAAGCTTCAACAGGCTAACAATAGCTAACTTAGCATAGCTTCATTTGAAATTATCTTACATCGACTCTCAAATGTATTAACAAACATGAATCCCATCGTTTCACACGATTCGACACACCTAATTGTAGGGAAGCTAACACAGATAAACGCCCCTATAATCTTTAGCCACAGGAAGCTACAACCGGTTAGCTAGCTAACTGTTTCAGCTCGAAATAACGGTCAGATATAACTGGCATTAAAAGCTAACCTGTGAAAAATTGTTGGGTTGCTTTCAATACCTAAAGATTATAGTTACCTGAAGTAATAAAGGGCGATTATTACGAGAATTTAGATGTCTTCTGCGGCTGAGGCTAGTATCTTCTCTGGAAAACGTCTCACAAATAATACGTCATCAACCGCAAAGATATTCCTGTCTGATGTCACACTTTTGACCAAAATATTACCACCGAGCAAACTTGGGTAAGCACATGTCTCTTTATTAAACGATTCTATATGTTGTTTCTTTTTTTTATGCTAAATAATCCCATTTAAACTTTTTATGTTTTATTTAAAAGCAACCACATTTTCATCCAGACCTTTAAAAAATGACCTTAAGTGATAGTTTTAACAAACATTCTGATAGTATTTACAGTCAAAATCTGTTAAACTTCAAAGCATTTAGTTTTTTACTGTCATACATGGAATATTCTGACGTACTAATCCTAGTAAACCGATTACATGACAAAAAAAAAGACATTACAACCATGTTAAATATATTTATTGATGTTTTTCTTATATAAAATTAATCTTAAAAATGCCCAAAGAAACTGACAGATTTAATATTTGATACCAACAAAATACAATTATACGAGATACCAGTTTAATCCTTGCTTAATCCAGTGCAGTCGAGTTCAGTTTATACCATTTGGTAGGAAGATTTCAAAGTTGCATCACAGCCATTAACTTTGCAGCAATCCCTTACACTGCAGAGATTGCATATCTGTAAAACTTGCTGCATTGTGTGAAGGGCAGTCATTGTTGACTTTTAGTCCTCAGTAATGGTGTGGATGGTTTCACACCATCTTGTACTGTATCTTCTTCTCTCTCTGCTTCCTTTAATGTCACTGAAAAATGTCCACCAGAAAGTTGTACAAAATAACTTTGTGATCTTGGAAAAATAAACAAAAACAATTCCCCAATTTTGCAGCTTTTTATCCCATTTGTGTTTCCTGGGTTACAGCCATGCAAATTATAATATAATTATTGTATATTATACAGTTTTACAATATAATTATTATGTTGTGATGAAATATCTGTACTGCACCTTAAACAAGTTTTGTATTTGTAGTGAAAAAAAAAAAAAAAATCATGTCATCATATTTATAAAATATCTTATTATTTCACCCCTTTGCTAGTTTGTGTTCCTCTTTGGAGTCCTTTGGCCATACATAATTAAATTAAATGTAGGCTTAAGTTATCTTAAAGAAATTTCCTCTTATGTACAGTTTAATTTAAAAGTATGGGATTTTCATAAAGCTTTGTGTCTCTAATAAGATTTATTTGAATTGTATTTCTGATTATGTCTATTGATGTTTATGTAAGATGAGAAATCCAATCTTATTTTTGTAGATATTATTCATTTAAGTTACATTGCCACCCGTTTTAATAAGAGTGTATTACTGAAAATGATTTTAGTGTTCTGATTGTCAAATAAGGTATAAAATAGCACCCAGGTGAATATGAAGTGATGCATGGTTGGTATAAAAACTACTGTGGCAGACAGCTGCAGTTTGTGTCAGTAGAAGTCTATAGGATCTATTAAAATGTACAAAGTGTATGAAAACAATAATAAATTTAGCATACATTTCTTTATACCTGCAAAAACATGACACCACAAAGGATCTAGAAACCACAACAGGCCATCCTATGGTGATGTAATGCAGTAATTGAAACATACTAGAAATAAAGAAGGAGGCATCAATTGTGCGCCTTTATTCTGCTGTTATGTGATGTGTTCAGGGTCCAGGCTTTGGTCAGAGGTAGGAATATGACATTATTGTTCCCAAAAGATGACGTATTTGTTAACCACAAGGAATCCAATAAATGCCAATTCATGCAGGTGCTTAAAAATGTCTTTTTAATACTATAAAATACTGTTTTTTTTTTTACATATCAATTTATACAAAATTAAAATAAAAAATGTAAATCCTTTGTTAAACCTTGGATAGCTCATATGCCTCAATAATTAATTATTTTTGTACATGGGAATTCCTGTTTTTCTATTTATAAAACATAATGTACCTGATATGCTCAATTATTCCCCATTTCTTGCCTCTGTGGTTATAAGTATCTCCTAATAATGTTTAGTTTTATTCTAGTCAATGTACAATTCTTACAATACTTAAAATAGCTATATATTTTAACAGCTTTAAAATTAAAGATCTAAAGAAAAAAAAACAAAGAAAAGAGTTCAGCATTTCTAGCAATAGTACGATGACTCTTCACATCTTGTGCTCTCACACACTTTTTACTTCAATCACTAGATATCCATTAAATGATGAGGGAAAGTCGAAACACACAGTTTTGAATCCATCCACAAAGGCTGACTCTTAAAGAACAGAAATGTGCATTAAAATAACCATTGGGTCTATTTAACCCTGCCTTAAGTTTAGTTTTACATATTTTCTTTCTTCTTATTTTGTGTGTATTTTTTGTAATAATATTGTTTCCTGTTGCAAGATTTGGCATTTTGGGTATAAAGTGAAGTAACAGCCTCCCATGCAAACATGATCATCTAAGTCTTAGGCAAATCGTAATACTAACTAAGAATCCATATTGGGGTTTATTTATTTATCCAGGAATTTGCCTGTTTCATATGTGTTATGTATTTTGTAGCTAATGGAGCATAAATAAGAAATAAGTTGTTGTAAAATGGTGTTGGGTTGATCAGGTTTTAGTTCCTCACTGTTTATCTCATCATCCAAGTCAGTAAAAACTCAAAGAATCCATCAGGGTTTATTATTTTTTTAAGTGTTATCATTCCTCTCAGGTACATGTCTCCTGATAAGCCCTGATGATGCTCTCATAAGCCGGAGGTGGGGTCTGCGTCACACCCAAACCCCTCAGTCCATTGTTCCCCCAGAATGACTCTGGTCTAGAACGGTTGGCAGCTGGTCCTGCTGCGGCTGAAGCCGACCCGGCTGACGTGGTCAGAGGTGGAGTACGAGGCAGCGTGGTCTGACTCCCCTCCTCAGCCTCTCTCGCAATCTGGCTGCACTGGATAAGGGGGTGGAAGGTAGAGGCCCTGAAGCTGGATTTGTGCCCCACTGCATCCAGGTGATCTGGGGAGGATGTCGGACGGTGGAAGCTGAACGCTGCGCTTAATAAGCTGTTGTTGCTGCGACGTTCGTAGCTGCTGCTGCTGCGGTTGAAGCCCTGGCGACCTTGGGGGGAGTTTTTGGAGCGGCGGGGTGGGCGACGGGTGATTTTGGCAGAGCCTGCTTTGCGTCGGGACATCCAGGTTAGGATCACATAAACTGTGGCACCCAGCAGTAACCCCACAGCGACGGATACACAGAAAGCTATGATTAAAGGAGCTGTGAAAAGAAACATTAAAAACACTCTTAGTATTCTGTAGAGTCATTTTTTTATCTCCATAAAAGACATATGATCACTTTTTTAGATCAGGACTTATAGTTTTCATAACATGAAATGTGTTTTTGAATCTGTTTCCATTTACTCTGTTATACCTCTGCAAAAACAAGCAATATTTTGCCTTCAGAAGTCATTTAATAGTAAAAGGAGTCTGCTTTTGAGAAATATCATCTCAGTTTTAATGCTGACTTTTCTGTTGAGGGTTTCCAGATTTCTGAGAACAAACAGCATCACAAAGACAAAACAAATAAGCCCATAGGTTAGGGAGGAAGTTTTGAACAACAATTGTTTAATTAGGAGTAGGGCTGAAACAGTTAATCAAATGAATCGTGATTGATCGAATATTTAAATAATCGTCAACTAATTTAGAAATTGATTAATTGTTAACTGGATTATATAGACTTTAAAACACACCTTTAGCTGACAGAGCGACTCACATTGAGCAGCAATTCTATCAAAATTGTGAAAAAAAATGTCTAAAAAGTCTTTTAATGGGCCTTTTGCTATCAAATTATGAATCGAAAAAATAATCAACAGATGCATCAATTTGCAAAATAATTGTTCGTTGCAGCCTCAATTAGGAGCATTAATCAGATAGAAAGTCAAAAAAGTAGAGGAGCTGGTATAGATCCAAAGCTGAGGGGATTTGATCAGATAAGGTCAAAGTTAAACTTTCTGGCCCACATGCTGACAGTTGGATATGGTTGAAATCACACAGTCTTAATGGAGAAACATGGTAATGGCTCCATCATGCTGCTAGGATCCTTTTCTTCGGAAGAGAAAGGAAGGCTGACTCCAGTTTTTAAGATGATGGATTGAAATACAGAAAAACTGCTAAAAAAAACAACTTGTAACTGAAGTTAAGGTTTAACCTTCAGCATGTTAACCAAATCAGTGTACCCCAACTTTAAAATACAACGGTTGACATTTAAGGCTAGACTTGAAAATTGATATTTGCAACATTCTCCTTCTAACCTGATTGAACTTGAGGCATTTCCAAAGAACACAGTAAGAAGTCTTTGGTTCATTAATGTGCAAATCTTGTAAAGACATAAAACCTTTAGCTATAAATGAAGCAAAAAGTGGCTTTATAGAGGATTAAGGGAATTCAAACATAATTCTTGTCTTATATTGCATTTCTTTGCTGATGGTGGTCAGATGGCCCAGTCGTGCCAGTGTACAGCAGCCTCACTATTGTCAGTGCGCCCCAAGGCAGCTGTGGCTACAATGTAGCTTGCCACCATCAGTGTGGTATTGAATGGGTGAATGACTGAATGAAATGTAAAGCGCTTTGGTCAAGCCTCCTGACTTGGAAAAGCGCTAAGTACAGGCCATTTGTTAATTTACAATTCTAAACTATTTTGTGTTGATCTAATCCCTCCAAATACATTTAAAATACACTGATTCCAGCACAACTAAAGAGAAAAGTCTGCAATATCAGAACTGTCAGATTTTCTGTCATATTTTTAGGCAGAATTTTGCACACATAAAAAGTGCAGAAGTTTGGGGGGGAAAAAAGAATTTTTACCACAATGATCCATTTGAGAAGTGTGATAAGACTGGAGTTAGCAGTCTTTAAAACAAAGGTTTGTTTGGATTTATTTTGGTAGACTAACCCAGACAAACATGTTGTAACCATTTAAGCTGTAATTAAAGCTGAGATTCTTGAGTAAAGCCAAAGGCGCCAATTAAAGACACCACATCAGACAGAGAGGAAGTAGAAAAGTTTGAAAACTCACCGCTATCAAAGGACTTCAGTATGTCCAGAATGACATTTGTGCTGTTTCCATCCATGACAAGAAAAGAGACTGATCCCTCGTACAGTCGTTCTTATAAACTCCTGTTCCCCCTCTTCTCTACAATCTCTTTGTCTGTGTTTCCTCTCTTCTAATGGATTTTCCTGTCTTTTTCAGCCTTGTCCCTTTTCCTGTTTTCCTACTTTCTCTCCCCCTGCTGCTTCACTCACTTTCTCTGAGACTGTTTCTGAGAGAGGCTGCACCCTGAGGCACGCAGGACCAACGGCAAACCCTGGCAGTCATCTTGTTTATGGAAGTGGAAAACTACGATGTCACATTTCCTGCTTTTCTGCTTGAAATTAGCAACAGGAGTGGCTTATCTTAGCAGGACAGAGATCCTGGAGGTGGGCAGGCAGGGTGTTTCTGTAATCACTTCCTTTCCCATCACTTCCTCAAGGTTGATTAATGGGAGAAGACAAAAAGTTCATGGAAGGAGTCAGTCCTTCTGCTTTCACCAAAGAAGATTTATAAATAATTGAAGCCAAACTTTCTACCTCCTAATAAAGAGATTTTAATAACTTTCTAGATTCTTGGCTTCCCCTTTTTTTATTAAATATTTTTCTGTTTCTTAAATTGACTTGTGAGTTCTAGTAGTTTAACTTTGAAACTACTGTGGTGCATTCCTAACAGCCTGTCGGCGTGTGGATATCTGCAGAAATTCCAGCATTTGTGTTTCCGCAGAGTCTGCCAGGGCAGCGGTGTCTGGTTTGAATGGTCAGGACATCCACTAAAAACATCAGCTATTAAAAAAGCAGCAAAAGCACTGCAACTATTTGTTTTCTTTTTACCAGAATATTTTCTTTATCTCTTAATTAAATGCCAGATCTTTCCTTATACTGGCTTTGTTTCTCCTTTATAGACAAATAGGTGCAAAATTAGGATAAGTGTCCTGACACCAGTCGACCAGTTATTCTTCTAACTTAAGTTTCAGTTTTAATCATTTTAATTCAAGTTTTATGGGCATTTAAAGTTTGAACTTCTTAAAGAAACTAAAAGACCTAATTCTACTTTGCTGCCTCTGGGAGAACTAAAGGCCATCGCTTGAACTTCCTTTAATTGTTGGCGTACATGTGAGACCTGTCTGAAATAACCAGCTACCACCCATAACACTGTGAGAATTGGTATGTGTGGTTATTGTTTTCTTTGATTGAGAAAGTGCAGGCATCTTTTCTGTAAATAATCTGAGGAGACATTCTTTGAGCTTTATGGTTTTCCGTTTGTTAGACAAACATAGAGGAGATTGTTGGGACTTTATTGCAAACTGGTTTCTTGTAAAAGAAAAAAGCCGATATTAATCATTGTTGCTTAGGATGCATTGTATTTTTGTGTACATTAAATACACAAGAATCAAGGACTAAATCATTACTTGGTTTTATTTATTAGGGTTTTATTAATGTGAGTGATGGCTTGCATGGGAGCAACCCTTCTATAAAAAAAATTATAAACTTGAATATTTTGCTGAAGAAGAACTTTGTTATAGATTTTTTTTTTGTGTAAATTGAACATTTAGTCAGTATTATATTTAATGTAAAAAGCTTACTAATTAGGAAAAAAAAGTGTTTTCCTGAATAGTCAACGTTTCTTTTATTCTTACTCTGTCCAGTAGGGGAAGCTGTAACCCAGGATTTCAAATATTTACATTCATCAATTTTAAAAAGTTTTACAATCTTCTCTTAAATATATATATTTTTTTAATTTATCAAGCTTAACTTTTCTGTTATAATCCAGGTAACATTTTTTAACAGTAAAGTCCAAAAATATTGACTTCTTAGATTAGTTATTAGATCAATTTCTACTAATTTGTTGGTGCACTTAGGGTCATTGTTCAATTGGAAGATCCATTTTTCTTAAAAAGCTTTGGCATCCTGATTGATGTCTTGAGCTGTTGGTACAATAACCTGGCATAGTGTTTTTCTTACCTTCCCTCCTCCTCAGCATAACCCCCACCACATGATGCTGCCACCACTGTGCTTCTCAACTGGGATTTTAAGCCTCCCATTATTCATCCAAATGTAAGATGAATGAATTGAGAAGATGAATGTGGCATCTTCTGACCTGCAGGAAAAGCCAAACTTGTAGAGCTCAACAAATATATTGACTGATTAACAAAAAATTTATTTATTTTTGGTGATGATGTCACCTAAGGAAGCAATGTGTTATTTATTTTTTTATTCAAATGTGATGAATTAAACATCAAAAGCTTAAAATGCTAAGATATTAAAATATATTTTAAAATATGTAGTTATCTTAGCATAAACTTGAATTTTAAGCAAGTAAAAAATAATTTACTCATGCACCTAATTTTGAGTTGGGTATAAATGACTTTAAATGAAGGGCTGTATAAGGTCAAAACCAATGATGACCAAAAAGAACACAAAGGACCTTCTCTCATTTATAAAATAGTATTTATCCCCAAGACGTTGAGGAAAATAATCTGTGGATTAATGAGATAAACAGATGTTTATCGGACGGCTTCAGCTAAAATCTATTGGCTTCTTAAGCCTCTAGAGGCTACAGTGTTAGTTAACTCATTAATGGACAGTTAACGAAGGTAAACTAACAGCACACTCAAACATGGTGTTGGTAGTGTGATGTTATAAAAATATTATTTTTATTATTTATTATTAATGTTTTATTTATCTATTTTTTATTAAGTCACGTGAAAATGTGGACCTAAGATCATGACCTTAAACAGACAGTAATAAATAAAGCTGATTTTCAACAAGAGCTATGCTATTTAAACAAATGCTACGATCAGCATTTGTTTGCAGCTCATAATTCAAAGAAAAAAAGGAAAATTAGGCTCAGTAAAAATAATCGCTGCCTTTCTAATCTTTGCATTGTTGTGGTTTTCTGTAATACTTTCCCAGAATTTTAAAGAGGATGTAGTAGAGAATGTTAACAGGTTATGTAGGAGCTATTTCTCTATTTTTGTTTAGGAACTTAGATTATTTATTTAGTTTGTATTTATTTAGTTATTTGTTGCATTTTTGTTTGAAAGTAGTTGCTTAGAATACAATTATTTCTTAGTAAATTGTTTAATTAGTTAATTGATTTTGTCTGGGTGTCTGGTATATAGATACATGGATTCCAGGTAGCTCAGGTGAAAAGTGGGTGGGCTTAAGGTTTTTTACCAGTCTTCCAGTCTTCTAGCTGCAGTCTACCAGGCCTTTCAGAAGGCAAGTCACTCAGCCTTAATCAGTGAGCACAAAGGCAGAAACCAGGCCAGGAGATGTGGCAAGTAGTCTTTTTGAGTTTTTTGTATCATGTTTATTTTTCCTGAAGAAACCTGGAATAAACTCACTGAACTGCATTTTTCACGTATTTTGAGAATTTTTTGTACTGCGTAAAACCAGAAACCCACAATTCCTCAAGTGACTATTTGATTTACATTTATTTTTTGCTTTTTCATTTTTAAGTTTTTTCATAGACAACCTGTCACTACATCAAGTAAAAAACCCGCCCTTGGACCTTTGTTTTCAACGATCTCAAATCTGCTGATGAGTGGATAGTGAAGCCATGGATTCAACTTCTTTGTTCTTGGATGGTGTCACCTGGAGGAAGTGCCGCGCCCACAAGCCATGAGGTGCCTCACTTACAAGCCACAAACACTCATGTCCCTCTTCAATGAGAATGGTATGTACAAAGATTGCTAATGCTGTAAAGGAAAACGGCCAGACGATTGGAGTTTGATGATAGCAATCAATGTTAAAGCAACAGTTTGTCAACATGAAGATGAGTTAAGGATTGAATTAAAGCATTTGCATTCCTAAACAAAGCAAGTGGATTTGAAATATAAACTGAACAAAGGCAACAACAAAGTTACACGCAGTTTAAAGTTTGTGCACAAAATGTCTGATGTAACAAAACCACAGATGGCCAAGAGTGACTCAGAGGTTTCATCCAAAAGAAGCATTAAATACACTGATAAAGGCTTGATGTCATATATAAAAACATGCCAAGATAAAAGAAGTGCTAAATTGAAACAGGCAAGACGGATAAAAGATTATTTAAATGTTTTGATGGAATCAAAGGATAAAGCTGACTCAGTAAAGTCTCTTTTGGCTACATTTATGCAATGTTGTGAGGATGCAGAGGTGTCTCATAAACAATTAACAAGTATGCCACTCCCCTCTGATGAACTCAAGAGACAAAATGAACATTTTCTAAGTATAATGAGTACCTACCAGGAGTTTACTGAATGTGTAAAGGGTTGGGTATATGAACTGGGTACGCCATTTGTGATACCAAATGCAGATACTGATGATCAAGTCAAAAATAACACTGAAGATGTAATTAACCCTGAAGACAGTGTTTCCAATGTGTGCTCTGTAAAGTCCAATCCATGTTCTCAAGTGTCCCGTGTATCTTCCATTAAATCTGCACACATAAGAGCAGAGGCAGAAAGAGCAGCGCTGTTGGAGCGTGCTGCAACTCTCAAAAGGAAGCATCAGCTTGAAGCTATGGAGGAAAAGTTAAAACAAGAAAGGGAGCAATTTGAACTTGAGACAGAGCTAGCAGCTGCTAATGCAAAGCTGCGCGTATTTGAAATAAATTCACAAGGTGGCTCGAAATGTTCTGATGGCATGAACTCGTACATTAAAAAAGGTATTTGTAAGTCAGGGCCAAAACTTAATGCAAGTGCCAACATAGTCGTTCCCGAGGACAAGGATTATGTTATGTCCTCTGCCATCTCTGAGCATCCAGTTGTTCGACTGAAACATAAGTCAGCATTCAAGGCACTGATGAGCCACAAAGTGTCCATGCTCAACTAAATGTTCAAAGTCCAGACACAACTGTACAGCCACAATTGGATCATCAAACCAGTATAATTAACATCATGCAAAGGCAAAATGACATCACTGCCATGTTGGTTCAGCAGAGTCAGAGTTCGGTTTTGCCACCAAGAAACATTCCAGTTTTCGATGGCAACCCTCTTGAATACAAATCATTCATAAGAGCATTTGAGAACGTTGTGGAAGCCAAAACATCTAACTTAAGTGATTGTTTGCACTTTCTAGAACAATTCACTAGGGGACAACCTAGAGACCTTGTGCATAGTTGCCAGCATTTACCATCGGAATTGGGCTATCGTCAAGCTAAAAATCTTCTTTCTGAACATTTTGGAAATGAATACAAGATTGCACAGGCCTATATGGATAAAATTAACAACTGGCCAGCTATTAAAAGTGAGGATATTAAATCACTCGAAGCATTCGCTCTGTTTCTTAAAGGATGCTCAAATTTAACGAAACACCTCACTCATATGAAAGAACTGGACTTGCCTTCAAATATGAGGAGCATAATCTTTAAGCTTCCCTATAAAATGAGAGAGAGATGGAGAAATGTAGCCTGTGACCTGCAAGAAAAAAGGGATCAAAGAGCATTATTTACCGATCTTGTTGCTTTTATTGAAAAGCAGGTTAGAATTGCATCTGATCCGTTGTTTGGCAATATCATTGACCTTCAACAGTTCAGCTCTAAAAACCCCAATACCGGCTTTACAAAACCAAAGAAAAAGGGAAGCAGCTTTGCTACAAAAGTTCTTTCAGTGAATAATGAATCACCTGAAAATAAGATGAAGTCCTCTAAAAGCCACAACTGTTTGTATTGTTTCAAAAGTAATCACTCAGTTGACAAATGTTTTAAGTTTAAAGACAAGCCACACAAGGATAAAGTGAACTTTATTAAAGAAAAAGGCATGTGTTTTGGTTGTTTAAAGGTGGGACACATAAGCAAAGAATGCAGAGGTCGCTTGGTCTGTACTGTCTGTCACCAACAACATCCCAGTGTCCTGCACATTGACAAGGAAAGTACAAAAGCTTTCTCCAGATGTCCACAGATTCCTCTGAGAACCACGTCCACCATGACTCAAACCTGTAGTCATATTAAGGTCTGTGATGAAGATAATTCAATTCTCTCTATTGTTGCAGTTCAAGTTAGGAGTCCAACAACCAACTCAACCGTGCAGACATATGCATTTCTGGACCCGGGCAGCACAGCGACATTCTGCACAGAGAGTCTAGCCAGAAAGCTGCAACTGAAAGGCAAAAGAACAAGCATTCAGCTGCAAACGATGGGTCATAAAGACATTGTGAGTACAAACATCATTTCTGGACTTCAAGTAGCAGCGTTTGATAAAAATGATTTCATTGAACTTCCAGATGTCATGACACAAAAACTAATGCCTGTTTCAAAGCGAAATGTTCCACAACAGGAGGACATTAACCAGTGGCCATACCTGCAAAGTATCAAGCTCCACAACATAGATGCTGATGTAGATTTGCTCATTGGCACAAACGCACCTAAAGTAATGGAGCCATGGGAGCTGATAAACAGCCAGGATGATGGCCCATATGCAGTTTGGACTCGAGTTGGTTGGGTCATCAATGGACCACTTAGGAGTGAAAGGAAAAAGACAGACTTTCATGCTTTCACCGCAAACAGGATTTCTGTTCAAAATCTGGAAACAATGTTGATTGAACAATATAATCATGATTTCAATGAAAAAACATCCCAAGAACAGATTGAAAATTCCAGAGAAGATAGCAAGTTTATGGATATCATGAACAATACAGCACATTTAATCAATGGACATTATTGTATTGATTTGCCTTTTAAGGCTGAAAATCCTACCTTGCCAGTGAACCGCTGTATTGCAGAGCAACGTCTTCAAAGCCTGAAAAAGAAGTTTGATAAAAGCCTCACCTTCAAGAAAGATTACATTGCTTTTATGGATGACATGATATGTAACGGATACGCTGAAGTTGTTCCTGATGACCACTTGGTGGGCAGTGAGGGAAAAGTGTGGTGTATATACCCCACCATGGTGTTTATCACCCCAGAAAAGGCAAACTAAGAGTTGTTTTTGATTGTGCTGCAACATTCAAGGGGACCTCACTGAATTGCCAGCTATTACAAGGACCTGATCTGACCAACTCAATTGTGGGAGTTCTTGTGCGCTTCAGACAAGAGCCTATTGCCATTATGGCAGATATTCAAGCCATGTTTCACCAGGTCCATGTTCCAGAGAAACATAGAGACTTTCTTCGCTTCCTTTGGTGGCCCAATGGTGACACGTCCCAAGTTCCACAAGAATATCGAATGACAGTGCATCTGTTTGGAGCAGTTTCCTCGCCGAGCTGTGCAAATTTTGCATTAAGAAAAACAGCAGAAGACAATGCTCAGCAATTTCCAGCTGAAGTGGTCAGTACTATAAAGCATAATTTCTATGTGGATGATTGCCTGAAATCTTTGCCTACAGAAAAAGAAGCAATAAAATTTGCCCAAGATTTGACAGCTCTTTGCAATAAAGGAGGATTTAAGCTCTCCAAGTGGATCAGTAATAATCATGCAGTGTTGCAAACTTTTCCAGACAACATCAAAGCAAAGGAAATACTGGAACTAGATTTGGAGCTTCCAATTGAACGGGCACTTGGCTTACAGTGGTGCACTCAACGTGATGTCTTTAAATTTAAAGGTTCATTTCCAGAGAGGCTGCACACGAGAAGGGGAATACTGTCAGTAGTAAGCTCATTTTATGATCCCCTGGGTTTTCTCGCTCCCTTCATCATCACCGCCAAAATGATACTACAGGAGCTCTGCAGGAGAAACCTGAGTTGGGACGATGCTGTTCCTAATAATTTCTCCAAACAGTGGACCGACTGGATGGATGATCTGAAGAGGATCTCAAAGTTTGAAGTGGACCGCTGCATTAAGCCTAAATACTTTTGTCCTGTTACTGCACAGCTTCACCACTTCTCTGATGCCAGCCAAGTGGGATATGGTACAGTGTCATATCTAAGATTAAAAAATGAGCATCATGTACACCTAGCATTCCTCCTGGGAAAGGCAAGAGTTGCCCCTCTTAAGCAGACAACCATTCCTCGTTTGGAGCTGACTGCAGCTGTCCTCGCTGTTCGAATGGACCAACTACTACACAGAGTTGCATCTTGAGCTTGAGACATCCGTTTTCTGGACTGACAGTACCACTGTCTTAAAGTACATCTGCAGTGAAGCAAAGAGGTTTCATACCTTTGTTGCTAACAGAGTGTCCATCATCAGAGATGCTACGCAAACTGATCAATGGAGATATGAAAGACAAAAATGGATGAGACCGAGAAGAAACATCACTGTTGGAGATATTGTCCTGATTGCAGATGCGACAGCACCCAGAGGATGTTGGCAGATGGGGAGAGTCCTGGCTGTCAACGCTGATGCACGAGGACTGGTTCGTTCAGTGCAACTTCGGACCAAAACCAGTGTGCTGGAGAGACCAGTGACGAAGCTCTGCTTGCTTTTGGAAGCATCTGAGGACTAAGAACATTTATTCTCTCTTTTTTTCTTTCTCTCTTTCTTTCTCTCTTTTATCCAATCTCTTTGCAGGTTAATAATAAAGAAGTAATTGTGATGTAATGCACAATTGGGGGCCGGAGTGTAGGAGCTATTTCTCTATTTTTGTTTAAGAACTTAGATTATTTATTTAGTTTGTATTTATTTAGTTATTTGTTGCATTTTTGTTTGAAAGTAGTTGCTTAGAATACAATTATTTCTTAGTAAATTGTTTAATTAGTTAATTGATTTTGTCTGGGTGTCTGGTATATAGATACATGGATTCCAGGTAGCTCAGGTGAAAAGTGGGTGGGCTTATGGTTTTTTACCAGTCTTCCAGTCTTCTAGCTGCAGTCTACCAGGCCTTTCAGAAGGCAAGTCACTCAGCCTTAATCAGTGAGCACAAAGGCAGAAACCAGGCCAGGAGATGTGGCAAGTAGTCTTTTTGAGTTTTTTGTATCATGTTTATTTTTCCTGAAGAAACCTGGAATAAACTCACTGAACTGCATTTTTCACGTATTTTGAGAATTTTTTGTACTGCGTAAAACCAGAAACCCAATATTCCTCAAGTGACTATTTGATTTACATTTATTTTTTGCTTTTTCATTTTTAAGTTTTTTCATAGACAACCTGTCACTACAGGTTAATTGTAAAATGCTTAGTTTCTTCATATAAAAGCTTTAAAAACAATTAAAGCATGAAGAAAATATCCCTGAATAGTTTAGAAAGGCTTAAGTGATTAAAAATGTTTATTTTTCTTTAATCAAAACCGTGTTAAAGGTCATATGTTAATTTTATAGTTGTTTCTTTTCAGCAGGAAGTGAGGATGAACTGTTTTCTGCTGAGCAGCATGTCTTTAATGCCGCTGTGTTGATTTCGACATGCAGGTTAGCAGCAAACTTTCTAATGAGGTTTTAGAAAAGTGCTGAGTGAGAATGAAAGAGATTACCACTCTGGCCGTCTTGGTCCCAGCTCTATGCTTGTGCAGTGATTAGATAAGAAAGCGGATCTGAAAGGGTTGGGTTTTTATAATGTTTTTTTTGCAACTGCTGGAGGATTTTGCATTGACCCATGAGCGTTGTCTTTCCTCTCTTCTGCTGCATTCTCTGCTCACTCTTGTGCTGAATGTTTGCCCCTGTGGGACTATGAACAGGGGAGGTCACCCCGAGCCTTCCTGCGTGAAAATGCAGGAATCAGCAGTTGCTGCTGCTGCTGCTGCTGCAGAGCTCTCTGCCAATCCTGCAACACAAACTGCAGACTCTGACATATGTACATATATTGTGATGAAATGTTGACATGGGTAATTCTGAATGGTGGTTAAGGATAAATCACTGTCCCCTGACACAGACAGACAGGACGTCTCTTTGGAGAGACATATTTTGTCATGTTTAGGGTTTTCAGTGTTTGGAGGAAATATGAATCTCACTTGGTTTATTTAATCCAGGTTTTCACATTCTGCTCTCCTAATTATCAACATTATATCTTTTATAATTCCTACACACGATTTAATATAATATTATGGTTTTACAAATGAGACCTATAAATAAAGTTTCTCATGATGCCTCTTGGACAATGCAATAATTACATATCTGGAAAGACAAGTAAGTTTCCGCTTTAAGGTGATTCTCTTTCTTAAATCTACTTTATGGGCCGATCGTCAGTCATTTACTAAAGATAACTACTCGTTGATGCTTGTGTTTTCAGTTTGTTTTCTCTGCACTGAATGACATTGCTGGCCAGACCTCAGCAGCCCTTGCAGGTTCTCTAAGAAGTCTCTGCGGAGGATGATAAAAGGTCTTGTTTAATGGGATTACACATCGTGATAAGTGCTCAGAGCCCAGTGGTTCATCACACCTCCCTCCTGCATTTCAAAGAGGCTCATTGATCTGTTGTGGTGACACAGTACATCTAGCAGAACATATTTGGGAGAGATCTGTATTGACAAAAATGTCTTTTTGTGTAGGTGGATTATTTAGTGTGACTGCTTTGCATTTTTATTCCCAGTTAGATAAGGGGTTGATTTGTTATATATATCTAAGGAGAGGTGCAAATTGAAGCATTTCAGTAGAACATAACAGAACAAGATTTGTACTGTTGCCCTCTAACCTGAGTAGCAGAAAAACAGGTTGCTGTAATGAAGTCATGAGAAAATTTATAAAGCTTCTACACGGGGTGTAAATCATTGGCGATGACAAAAGTGTCAAAGCAGCAGATTGTGTGCGGTTCAGGACAGAAGTTTACATAAGCTTATGCACAGCAAGAATAGTCGTTTCTCAGCAACACAAGATATAGTTTATTCAGGTTGGTATATTGCTTACATCTATGGATATTTAGTAACACAATTTATTGTGAATTTTTGTTTTGTTTTTGAGCATGTTTGGAATTTATTTGAAATTCAAATTTTGACGAAAAATGGAAAACAAGGGCCGATGGATGCGGCCAGAACGGCCGAGTTGAGGACTAAGACCCTGGTATATTCCTTTCGTTAAATGTTCCTTACCCAGCTATACACTGAATATATGCTTTGTGTGTCCATGAGGAAGGAGGCTTTAGAGATATTATAGTTGTATATTTTCCCACTTATATTTGTGGACCTTGTAGAGTTTTTTCAAATCTGTTGGTTTCTTTGAAGGAACTCGGATTAAGGTTTATCCAGTATATATTAGTATAATTAAATTGAGAAAATGTTTGCAATGGTTATCTCGTCCTCAACCTGTTTTGTTATGTATTTTATGCCCGTTTGTGACCAAGTTTCAGTTTTACATGAAATTGTACAGAAGCTCTTTAAGGTAGAAACACCTGACAGAAAGCACCATCACACCATGATGCAACCAGGAAGTGTGTTAAGGCCTCAGTTTAGTGAAACGGTTCAGACTGTTTCTTCTTTGAAGCTTTCTTAAGAATGCATTGGATTTCACTAATGTGATATCTGTATATATATATATACTGTATCATTAAAATTCCAACTGCCCTTCTTGATTTTTGTTTTTGAAATGTATTTCTGCACTTTGTTGCATAATCATTCCAAGCCTTATACCCATGATGTGAGTCCACATCTCTGACCAGAAGTGTATAACGTCTTCTCTACGTCAGAATTGAAAGTACAGACATCTGATATTCTGGGTTTTTCTCTGATTGTAATACCCAATTTATCTATTTGAAGTGACCCAATATTTGGCCTCGTTAGCATGCAAATAGACAGGATTCTGCTCCAATCTGAAATTTGACTTAAGAAAAAATATTCCAATAACTGAATTACTCCTGGGCCTTTACTTATGCTACATGACTAGGATGGATTTATTTGATCAGGATTTATGCAAATCCTAACATAGCAAACTCGTGTTTTTTTTTTTAAATAATTTACCTGTCACTGTACAAAAAATCGTACTTTTCTGATGTTTATCTATCTTGATACTTTTGGTTTTCATGTCTGGTTTGGTCAATATTTTGAACAGGATTGTGTTTATTAGAAATTATCTGTAATTTTATCTCCTCTAGTTGCAAACATACTAAAAGAACATTGATCTA